TTATTTTATTTTATTTTATTTTATTTTATTTTATTTTATTTTATTTTTTCAGAGATAGGCTGAAGTGGTACACTGATAGCTCACTGTAGTCTTGACTTATTGGGTTCAAGCAATCCTCCTGCCTGAGCCTCCTGAGTAACTAGGACTACAGGTGCATGCCACTATGCCCAGCTAGCTTTTAAAAAAAAATTTGTAAAGAGGGGTCTTGCTATGTTGCCCAGGTTAGTCTCAAACTTCTGGCCTCAAGACATCCTCCTGCCTCAGCTTCCCAAAGTGCTGGAATTACAGTGTGAGCCTCACTGCTTGGCTGGAGCTCATTTATAATTACTTTTATGAGGTATAAGAGAAACAGATATAAGGCTCCCCTTAAAGTTAAAAGTTATGTTTGCATCAAGATGTTCTAATCAGCAATTTAAAGGAACAAGATAAAGTTCCCTCTTACCACTGTTGACCCCAGAATAGCTTTGGGCTGGCCAAGGAACAGCTGTCCTGATGTGGGCCATTTAAGAAAAATGGCATATACCAATTTTTCTTTAGGCTTGAATGTGTACCTGGTTAAAAGAAAAAGATAAAAAGCGTAGTAACAAGTTACATCCCATGTTTCTCGTTATTTATGGATCAGGAACGATCTGGAATTTTTTTACAGAGATACTTCCACAGTGTCGCCATTAATAGAAGGGAGGGAAAAATAGCCCCATGTTGGTATAAAAAAGCACCTTCCTCCCCCAAGACCAAAAGGAAGTTCTTGGAAGACAAAGATTTTGCTGAGATAGCATTCCTCTTCATCAGACTGCTCTCATGGATCTGAAAAGGGGAGGCAGATGAGCTAAGGGGGCAGGATGCAAGAGCTTCATGGCTTTTCATGTGTTATTCAAATTTTTATATCCATTCAACAAGATAAGATATGCATGTGTCAATTCTGTGCCTAGTACTGTGCTCAGTGTTAGGGTTATAATAAAAAACAAAACACACATAGTTCTTACGGAGCTTAGACTAGAGTGGGGAAGGCAAACACTAAATAATCACACAAATAATATGAAAGTGCGAGTTCTGATAAGCACTATGAAAGAAAAGGAAATTGAGAGATTGTAACAAAAGGATCTCTTTAGATTAGAACATCAGAAAGAAGCCTCACCAAGAACATGACATTTAATCTGAGACTTAAAAGGAGGATGAATGGGAACAAAGAAGAAGGTAAGGGAAGTATGCTGTAGACAAAAAAAAAAAAAAAATGGAATTCATTCATTTATTCAACTACTCAACAAATACTTATTGAAATCTTAAAATGCTAGACACTGTTTTAGAGCAATATACAGCATTGAACAAAGTCCTTGTCCTCATGGGGCTTACATTCCAGTGGGAGAAATTAGAATGAACAAATATGTCAGGTGTTGATTAAATGCTATGGAGAAGACAAACCAGGTAAGAAGAACAGAGCATGCTAGGTAGGAAAGGAGGGGCCTGGGAGTGTTATTTTAAGTAGAATAGTCAGGGAAGACCTCTTAGAGGTGGCATGGAAGAGAACCATGGGAGCGCCATAGGAGTGCCACAGGAGAGTCTGGAGAAAGCCTTCAGACAGAATGTCAAGTGCAGGAGCCCCAGTGCAAGTGTGCTCTGCCTGTTGATGCAATAGCAAGGAAGGCAGAGTGGCTGAAGGAGAGGAAGTGGGGGAGGGTGATGGCAGATAAGATCAAAGAGGCGATAAGGAGCCAGATTTTGTAGGCCCTTGTAAGCATCTATGGGACCTGGCCTTCTCTCTGAGACTAGAAGCCATTGGAGAAATGTGAGCATGGGAGTGGCATTATTATTTAAAAGTATACTCTAATTGCTGTGTGGTGAATAGGTTAAAGGGTAGAAATAGAGACCTGTTAAGAAGCTACTGAAATAATCCAGACAGGGACAAGACAATGGTAACTAAAAGGATGAGGGTTGCCACAGAGAGGATGAGAAGTGGTCAGATTCTGAATATATTTCAAAGATAGAGGATGATATCTGCTAATGAGTTGCCTGTGACTATAAAAGAAAGGGAAACTAAGGGTTTCAAGGTTTTGGGCCTGACAACCACCTAAAGGATGAAGTTACTGTTAACTGAGATGGGAAAGATCATGGGTGGAGCTAGTTGATAGCAAAATTTGAAAACTCAGGACTTCAGTTTTGGATGTACAGGTCTAAGATGCCATGCATCCAAGTGGAAATATTGAGTAGGAACTTAATGAGGCTGGAGTTCAGAAAGAGGTCTGCACTGTAAATAGAAATGTGGATGTCATCAATATGGCATTTAAAGCCATGAAAATGGATAAGATCACCTGGGACATTAAGATAAACGCGGTGGCTCATGCCTGTAATCCCAGCACTTTGGGAGGCTGAGGAAAGTAGATCACCTGAGGTCCAGGAGTTCGAGACCAGCCTGGCCAAACATGGTGAAATCCTGTCTCTACTAAAATTACAAAAAAATTACCCAGGCATGGTGGCAGGCACTTGTAATCCCAGCTACTCAGGAGGCTGAAGCAGGAGAATAGCTTGAACCTGGGAGACAGAGGTTGCAGTGAGCCGAGATCACGTCAGTGCCCTCAAAAAAAAAAAAAAAAAAAAAAGAAGAATAGAAATCTGAAGACTAAACCTCAGGGCACTTCAAGATTTAGAGGTTGGAAAAATGAGATGAAATCAGGAAAGGAACTAACTAACAAGGAAGAGCCAACAGGTACAATGAACACCAGGAGAGACAGTGATCAACTGAGGCAGACGCTGCCAGTAAGTTAAGAAAATGAGCACTGGGGACTCATCACTGGAATTGGAAAGGCAGAGGTTATTGTGGGCCTTGAGAAGAGCAAACTTGGAGTGTGGGGGTGGAAGCTCGACCAGAGTGGGTTCAAGAGAAAAACTGTAGCAAGGAATTGGAGATAGCAAGTGAAAATTCTTTCAACATGTTTTACTACAAAGGAAAGGAGAGAAATGGGAAGGTAGCTAGAAACACAAGTGAAATTGAGTGAAAGGGGAGAATTGCCATAACAATCCTTGGGTGGATGATTTGCAATGGGATCAGGACACAAGGGTTGACCTTAAAACCAAAGGTGAGATAATTCTACATTGTATGTGTCTGGGTGCGTGTGTGTGTGAGTTTCCATAGTTATAGTTAGCTGTCCAGGAGCAGGCATAGATAAGTAGATCTTAATTTAAAGTTGATGTTCTGTCAAGTGAGTATGGCAGAGGGAGCGAGAGTTCAGGAGTTGGGTATATGCAATAGATTAGTTACGGTGACGGGCCACAGAATCTGTTCTGGATAAGGAAAAAGACAGAGAAAAGATGATAGGATTAAAAGATAGTGTAATCCCTGGATTATAGATCCCTTTGGAAGCCAAAGTGCTGTGTGGAGTGAGCCAAAATATAAGAAGTCGTAGGTAGACGGCAGAATGCTTCAAACTGGAGCCATGGAAGGGGTGCAGTTATTAGTAATGCAAAGTCTAAAGTATGATTATAAAAGAAAGGGAAGTTAAGGACACCAAAGCTTTTGGCCTGACAACCACCTAAAGGATAAAGCTGCCATTAACTGAGATAGGGAAGACCGTGGGTGGAGCTAGTCTACAGCAAAATTTTAAAACTCAGGACTTCAGCTGTGGACATACAGGTCTAAGATGCTATGCATCCAAGTGGAAGTGTTGAGTAAGAAGTTCTACTTTGCATTACCGATATGACCTTGTATATTGATAATGCAAAGGAACAGGTAACAAAGGTCAAGCAGACAAGATCCCTAGAAGACAGGAAGTGCAGGTAATTAGAACTGTGAATAGAAATTAAAATCACTAAGAGTTATGTGAAGAGTAGTTCTGGGGACAGGGACAGCAAGCCAGGGCTACTCTCTCGAAGGATTTAAAGGGTTGACCTGGGAGTCTGTAGGTGACTGCAAGAAGATGGGCATGATGAACCTCGGGGGAAGAAGGCTCCTACAGTGAGGAGGGAGAGCAGGAACACTCAGCGTCGGGGAAGTTGGTAGGAGCCAGACTCACAACTTTATAAGCCACATTAAATATTTAGCTTTTATGTTTATTTATTGAAATAAACACAATGGAATAATGGTTAATGATTGTGAAGTCCTAGATCAGATGCCCTCGTATTCAAATGTCAGTACAGAAGCAAATTCCAAAACCAGATTTGCACTATCCTCTGTTACATGAGAGCTTGGTATTGAGTTCTCATTATGGCTCCTCCCAGATCAACATTTTAAAACTCCACAATTATTTGCTCTGTCCAGATTGCCTTACTTCATTTTATTCAATGGGTTAATGTTTTAAGTCGTAAGTCAAGTAGATTGAAGAACAATTAGTCTAACTTTTTGGTTCCTATTTGATCAGGCAACTGAAAGTGAATTTTTGAACTTCACCAATACTCCTCTTATTTTATATATGTTAAGAAACCGTATCAGAAACTGTCATATTTGTGGAATCTGATTCAGGAACTCACTGACACACAAAACCTCCCCAAACTCAGAGAGAAGCATCTTCCCAGAACCCTCCCTATTTTGACTCATTTTTAATCTAACATTTTCTCTGCCTTTGGGTACCTTTGTTTGCAAATTTCATGGGATGCAACATCTGCAAAAGTTAGAATTTACGGAACTGATTAAACAGTAGTCTCTGTTTTCGACTAACCATTCGCATTTTTTCATTGGTCTGAACGGCTTACAATTTTTCTAAAAGCTGAGTACTTTCAGCCAAAATTTGTCCACCACTGGGAGATACCTAGAAATGATGTAAGCTTAATCTGATAAATAATAAACGTTCAAAAACATGCAAATTCTTCCTCTTCTCTTTATATTAGAGTAAGCTAAGTTTGGAAAGTGCTTTGTATATGTAAGAATTCATCCAATTTCTCTTTTTATCCTACTCTTCTTTATATGTGTGATAAATTTTAAATCTCTTCCTTTATAAAAGAGTACTTGGTAACAAGAATGACTTACCACACATCTGGGGTGACAGTGTCATTCTGGGATCGCCAGGTATGGGTTTCATAAATAGCTTCTCCATTGACTTTTAGCCAGGACCCCATTTGCCTCAGTCTCTCCTCAAAAACTACAGAAATGGTGCCATCTAGTGTGGGCCCAATATTCATCAAAAGATTTCCTCCACATGAAACTGTTTCTACAAGTTGCTACAAAATTAAGAATAAATGTTTTTAGATAAATAAAATAATTCCATATTTAATGTGCTAATATATTGCATTTATATATTTATACATCTATATATAGTCACTACCTAGAAGAACAAACACAGGATAGAACAATGTCCTATATTTATAGGCCATTGAGCTACATAAGAAATAAATCCTATATGATCACACTATTAAGAATATTATGTTAATAGTCACCAGACATTTTACTGTACCTTCACCAATTCTCCAATTGTAAGATAGTCAGAGATTCCAGCTTCCCTCCTATAGCCCCAGGACAATTTGTCTATTGTCATGCAGTTTTCCCATTTATGTGGCAAAAGATGTCCTGGGTTATAACGATCACTGCAGGTATAGAAGCCACCGTGCTTACAAATGCTACCAGCTCCCCAACGATCATTGGTGACTACTGTATGCCGAACTGGGCTGAAATGAAATATACAGTTTTTTAAAACAAAAGGTATAAGCTTTTTATACAAAAAGAAATGTCCACTGAAAAGACTTGTAATTGAAATATAATTCTGAAAAGGGACCATGGCATAGTACAGTGGAAAGCCCATGGTTTTGAAGTCACAGACCTGGCTTGATTGGAGTTCTGACTTTGTCACTTTCTAGCTCCCAGACCTAGAGCAAGTTACCTGACTCCTCTGAATAATGAATTTCCTCATCTATGATTAGAACAAAAATAAGTTATGTAAAACATTTAGCCTGGTACCCAGCACATATAGCACTCATAAGAGTATTATGATTATTTTAAGCTCCCTTCCATATTGTAAATGATAACCGAAACTGAATTTATACCCAAGACACTTTTCAATGATTCAGTGATCTCATACATGTAGTCTAGCCTTTCTCTTTCTCTTACCATTGTGCCTAATATTGAAAAATCTCAGAAAATTCAACTGTTGATGTCATGTGAAATATCCCCACAACGTTACCTATCATAGCACGTGGCACATTTTAGAGGGAAATCCACACCACATAGAGGGGACAGTTTTGAGTCACAAATTGAAGTGATGGCTCCCCATCTTTTCCCTTGGAAGGAGTACCTGGACACATTGCTGTTTTCAGTATCAAGAGTTCTTCAGAATATTTGTATTTGTGCCCTTTGTGGGCCCAGGAAGTGCAAGCAGAAGGTTGCCTGACTTAATAGCACAATACCCGGTGCTTTCTAGTGTACATGCAAATTTTGTCCATATAGTTTAAGCCTAATGGAGGAGTTTAATCAGAAATCCCTGTTCTAATAGGGCAGCCTTGAACATAGCAGGAAGCAATAGGAAAAAACTGGAGAAAGGGAAAATGCTGCTGATGAAGGAAAAGAGGAGACAAACAAGGGTGACATTGGCTGGGCAGCAACGATGACCAAAAGCTAAGAGGATAAAAAGAAGCAGTCAGAGGGATTCGGAAGCACATAATTGGAAATAGTGATGAAGAAACAGAGTTGTCCCAGAATAGAGGCCATAAAGGACCAGGGTAGGAAAGAAAAAGGGGGGACCCACAAAATTAACACCTTCAAAGTTCCTGATCCTATGATTTTTAGTCTGATCTCAAAATCAGACCACTGAGTTGTATTTTACTCCTGATTTATTTACCCTTGATTATGTTGAGTAAACACTAATATATCTAATAAGTATTATTTAAAATGATTTTCTCCCCCCATGCCACCAGTGACTTAAAATGAAATATTTCAAGAGGTGAAGGAATGAAAATGTTGGAAATATATTAGGAATATGGAGGGTAACTGCAGCAATCTCATAGCATACACACCTTTCATTATATAGCCAGGCCAAGAAGCCTGTACTGTTCCAGTATTGATCTGGCGCTCCTCCATCACCATCCGACCACAGAACCTCAGGCTGATAGTTGTTCACTAAGTCGTAGAGCTCTGGCAATGTCTTAGAAACTGGAAATTGCCGCTTATGGAATGAACTGGATTCATCCTCAAGGAAGAGCGGATGAAACCATTCAAAAAGGGAATAGTACAGTCCAAAACGCAGGTCAGTTCTGTTCCTAATGGCTTCCTCAAGTTCCTTGACAATGTCCCTCTTGGGCCCCTCATCTATGGCATTCCAGTTCCATGAATACTCTGAACCCCACAAGGTAAAACCTAGAAAATTATAGTGAAAACCCTTGTAAGCATGTCTATTTTAGTAAATTTTAACCCACACAAATGCCCAAACAAATCACATAGTACATGCGATGTATAAATACCTGCTCCTACAAATGACTGTTTTATGGCCATTTTTTCATGGCATATATCGTGCTTTTATATGAGAAGTGAGAATTTAAACAAGGTGACACTGAGGTTTTTAAAAGCAACTTTTGGGCTTTATTACTGTATGGTCTGATCTATTTCCAGTATTTTCCCTCTTAGATTGTAAGGTCCTTGAGGGATCGCATCATGTCTGCAGTGCTCCCTGCTATGTCTTCAGCCAACTGCTAGCACAAGGTATAGCACAAAATAAACAATCAACAATAGCAGCCCACAACTAAAATGGGAACATATACATGTACCATGCTAAATGATGACTACTACTATTTATTATGAAGACCCTGAGATGCACTCCTGCAAGATTCTTAGTGTCTTCTAAACCAAAGTTTGAAGTCTGCTGCTTAGTTTTAGGATTGTTTATTCTATTATAGTGTGATTCTTAGAACACTGGTGATCCCTGTATAGCAAATCTCTTTTAGCCTGATTATTTATTTAACCAGAGGGGCAAAAAACCCTACTATTTCCCAATAGTTCTATACTTTAAAATATACTCACCACATGTAATGTCATCCTACTATAAAATCATAAGCTTGGATTTTCCTCTTTAATAAAATTACCCAAAAGCAAATAGTCTACCAACTATTTTCTTATCTTAGAGATAAGAAAAACAATGTATACTTTTATACAAACACTTAGAAGTGGTTTGTTTTTAACAGGAATTTGCATTTAGATTACTGGTTGTTCTATATAAAAATGTTAGAAGAGATATATAAACTGAAATACTTAAAACATAATAAATACGAAAGCCTCAAAAATTTTATCAGTGCCTGGAGACTTAAGTACATTGTCACTATTCCACTAAAATCTAAAAGAATTTTTGAGAATAGACATTTATAAGGTACATTTGGTGAAACATTTTACTCTTGATAAATTAGAACAAGTCTAAGACTGACTCATACTTCGGAATTTTTTTTTTTTTTTTTTGAGACAGGTTCTGGCTCTGTCACCCAGGCTGGAGTTCAGTGGTGTGACCTTGGTTCACTGAATCCTCAACCTCCTGGGTTCAAGTGATCCTCCCACCTCAACATCTCCAGTAGCTAGGATTACAGGTGTACTCCACCACGCCCAGCTAATTTTGTCTAATTTTTCAGAGACAGGGTCTCACTTTGCTGCCTAGGCTGGTGTCAAACTCCTGACCTCAAGCAATCCTCCTTCCTTGGCCTCCCAAAGTGTTGGGATTATAGATGTGAGCCACTGCACCTAGCCTTAGATTCATTTTAATAAGCTTTTAAAAACAGCTCACTCTTGTTCCTGTCATGTCTATGGTAAGCTTCAGAGCAGTGTTGATATCTAAAGTCATATTCAAAATTATTCAACTTGACAGGCCCTAATGTCAGACAGTACTAAAACCACATGAGTCTTCATTTGAATATCACCACCATAAGCTCACACAGTGATACTCCTTCCTGAGCTTAGTATGCATTTTCCATAACCAATGAAAACATCTGACAACATGGGTCCCAGAAAATGTATAAATGTGGGCTACATCATCTCTCCTCACAGTTTGACTAATAATTTTTATTAAATAAACTCACTATGTATTGTTTTGTGCCATACAGCTTGGGAAAGTTCCTAGACATCAGGAAATCAGCATGTTCTCAAGCAAATACACTTGATAGACATTCATCTCAGCAGGAGAAATATCTACAGGAGAAAATCATGAAGCTACCAGAATGTGGCCAAAGGGAAAATATCTTATGGTCATTCCAGATTTTTTGTGTTGGTTCTCCTCTCCTATTCCCATCCCATCCCTGGAGAAAACAATAAGGCAAAGTTTCTTTTTTTTTGAGACAGGATCTCGCTCTGCCACTTAGACTAGAGTGTAGTGGCCCTATCTCCGCTCACTACAGCCTCAAGCAGTCCTCCAACCTAAGCCTCCCGAGTAGCTGGGACTACAGAGACACACCACCATGCTAATTTTTTAGTTTTGTTTGTTTATTTGTTTTTGTAGAGACAGGGTCTCATTATGTTGCCCAAGCTGGTCTCAAACCCCTAGGCTCAAATGATACTCCTTCCTTGGCCTCCCAAAGTTTTGAGATTACAGGCATGAGCGACCACTCCAGTGCAAATTTTTTTATACCAAGGCAAAGATGATCATGCAAAAGAAACTAATGCATTAACAAGCAATTGAAACAAAAACAATTTGTTAATGCTTCCCTGGCCTTACAAATACTGCAGTGGTAATGGGTGGAATCCATTCTATTAAAATAGGACTGCTGTGTGGGGGTTTAGATATTCTTTTACCACCTCTGATTATTCTGGGAACCATTACAGTTCCACAATCCTTTTCCCTCCAGGTGATCTGGGTCACTTTCGTCACTATCAGTTCATCCACTATTTGCACAATTTGGCCATCTAAGAGTTGGCTAAAAGTGCAGCCAGGTGTGCCGTAATGATGCAAGACTATAGCAGTATAACCCCCATGATGCATTCACAGGATGCATTACAGAGAAAGGGAAGGAAAGAGTGCAATTCCAATGATGAACTTTGACTTGCAACCCACACTCCCTTCAACAAACAGCTTTACGTAAATCTTGGAAGTATTGTTCAAAATACATGTGCCAAAATGTGACCATCTTTCCTCTGTTATGTGGAGGGTATGATCCTTTCTGTATTCCTAACATCTCTCAATTTGGGTTGAAAGTGCAGTCCCTTAGTTATAAACAAGTGCCAGTCACCAGTTATGGTTGCTCCTGAGAGAAAATTAGACCTTGTGTTAGTTTTTTCTTCCAAAAAAAATAATTTTTCATTTCTTAACCATTGTCAGCAATTTCCATATGCTGGATTGACTTACCTTCATGATGTTTGGAAGTTAAGACAATGTATTTGGCACCAGAGGCCTGAAAAATATCTGCCCACTCGTTGGCATTAAAAAATTTTGCTGTAAATAGTGGTCCAAAATCTTCATATTTGAAACTAGGAGGGTAATTATCTTTCATAAATTCCACATACTTCGGTATCTTTTCCTTTTGCCAATACCACCTAAGGGGAGGAAAGGAAAGAGTGCATAAACAGCACATACACACACATTTAAAAGAACTGCTCCAGCTACCCTTACCATTTACCCATCATGTAGATACAGTAGGACCCAGATTCTCTTTCTCACTTCCCCATTAATTTGACTTGGCTTTAAAGAAAGCTTATGCAAACTAAAACCCCCTCTCATTTTCCACCTATCTCCCTGTGATATCCACTCAGCCCATAAACTAGAGCATTCTAGGCAACTCAGCTACCCATTCTCTCTCTTTTTTTTAAGACAGGGTCTCACTCTGTCACTCAGGTTGGAATGCAGTGGTGGAATCATGGCTCTCTGCAACCTCGACCTCTTGGGCTCAAGCAATCCTCTCGCCTTAGCCTCCCGAGTAGCTGGGACCGTAGGCACGTGCCACCACACCTGGCTATTTTTTTTTTTCTTTGTAGAGATGTGGTTTCCATATATTGCCCAGGCTGGTCTTAAACTCCTGGGCTCAAGCAATCTTCCTGCTTCAGCCTCCCGAAGTGTTAGGATTACAGGCATGAGTCACCATGCCCAGCCCCATTCTCTTTTAATACTTCACTTTTAAATCACAACATGTAGTATGTGTCTTTACACATTGTCCTTTGTAACATAAGCGACTAGGGCTTCTAAAAGGAAGACTACATGCCTAAAACATAACATGCATCTATTATATTCAGTAGTAGAGAACACTTTGGAGGCACAGGACAGAAAGGGAAGCAAAAGTAAAATTAAGAAGATGCTGTTATTTTAATAAATGGACTCAACCTTCAACAATTACTTGCTATATGCATTCATTCTAAGCAATGGTATATTGACCCTAAACTGTGTAAGCAAGACTTCATGAGGAAAAACACATCTACACATTTTAGATAAACACAGCAATAACTATCCCCATGAAATAGATGCAACTCCCATTTCCGACCCACCTCCTGCTTTTTCTATCACCATTTCTTTCATATGAGTACTTCTACAGGATAAGCAAATCCATAATCAGCACTGTATTTCCCAAGATGATCAGGAGACTCTTTCTGCTAAGAAGACATAATTGAAGGGCATACTATGTGGCAGGCACGTTTGCCTGCCCAAAAGTCATATTTACCTAATTCCCAGCTTCCACTACAGCTACGACAGGGATGTGAGATCCATGCTGGCCAAGGGAACTTGAGGAAAAGCCACACTTCGGGGACTGTGGAACTGGTTTCCCTCCTAATGAAAAGAGACACTGGCCTTCCTGCCTTTGGCCAAGGTTGTGTGAAGTTATGGTGCCTGGCTGCCATCCTGTGACCATGAAGGAACAAGTCCCCAGGCTGACAGAAAGAGCCTATGTCTTTGACTTCATCAATGAACCAACTATCTCTAAATTTCCTGTTATGTGAGATAATAAGCCCCTATCATTACACCTTTTACTTGGGTTTAAAATCCTTGAAGCGTTTTTATTATTTATTTATTTATTATTGATTAATTGATTGGTTGAGACAGGTCTTGCCCTATCACCCAGGTTGGAGTGCAGTGGCATGATCATACCTTACCACAGCCTTGAACTCCTGGGCTCAAGCAATCCTCCCACCTCGCCCTCCTGAGTAGCCGGGACTATGGACATTACCTTTTAAACTGAACTGCAAAAGAGAAACTGTGACATTTAGAAAGTTGAACAAGAATAAGGAATTTCTCCTAGCATCATCTAATTTGAACCTGCACTCTCCCCTACAGTCAGGACTTGAATTTCATGCTGAGAGATGAAAAGAGGCATTTATGGTAAAGAGTCCATCATTTATATTTGGTTTTTAATAGACATTTAGAACAGTCACACATACTCATCTGTACTGTTGATTCCCCAGAAGTCAAATTGAGAGTGAGGAGCAGAGGATACAAAGGGAAACCACAGATGATTGAAGAATCTTCCACAGGGTTAATGCATTTCCAGATCATCAGGAATGTGTTCTCTATTTTGTTTAGTATGAGAAGTATCTTTATTGTTCCAGGTCAAAACAATCATGGGTTTGTTTGTAGAAAATGAAGTTACTCATAGCAAAGAATAAAATGACTCAAAACTAGCTGTTTTGTTTTGGCATAGTACTGGTCTCAGTTAACAAATATCAAATCCTCTACTGGCACCAATATATCTTCACCTAATCTTCATGGTTGAACAAAATGATAATATAAGATACAATTTAGGGGGAAGAAAGTGTGTTAATTATGTACCACACTAATTTAAAACATTTCCAAAATAAACTCAAGATTCATTATAGCCCAAAACATGCAAATAAAGATTTGTAACATCTTTCTGAAGTAGCTATGTTTTGGCATAAGAAGAAAGAGTCTCTGTTTTATAAGTTGAATTATTTAAAGTATACGAATAATTCTCCATAGCTTACCCATTTTTATTTTTTACATAAACTGACCTAACAATAAGAAAGGTTACTGGTTCCAGGTAGTCTATCTCTTTGTAATGAAAGAGTTAAAATATGCTATTCTGGCATATTATTAAAGGTAAAGAAACTCAAAAAATAGCAGGTGCATGAAGAGCACTTTGACTTCTGTGCTGTTTCTTAGGACAGAAGATGAAATTCCAGTATGAAAGGCACTCTATACTGGAAGGAAAAGCAACATCCTAAGCTTCAAAGACAAGAAGTCGAATACTGTAAAGACCTTGCTAAAATTCATTTTTTAAGCCTCGCCACACAATTTAATCCTACAATGTCAATTAAATTCTTGGACCCAGCAGAGATCGTAACAGAATGGAGGTGTAATTTTTCTACCCCTACAGTAGAGCATGGTACAGTGTATACTATGTAATGTTATTATAATTTATAGTTCATACTCTGTATTGTGTCTACTAAATATAGTATGTTAATTTGGATGTATACTATTTATGTAGTATATAGTTGATTCAAATAAATACTGACTGTTTAATGATTCCCTTATTTTACTTAAGAATATATTATGTGTCCCAAAGTCCTGGAATTACAGGCATGAGCCACCGCGGATCACCTGAGGTCAGGAGTTTGAGACCAGCCTGGCCAACATGTTGAAACCCCGTCTCTACTAAAAAATACGAAAAATTAGCCAGGCATGGTGGTGTGCGCCTATAGCCCCAGCTACTCGGGAGGCTGAGGCACCAGAATCGTTTGAACCCGGGCAGCAAAGGTTGCAGTGAGCCGAGATGGTACCACTGCAGTCCAGCCTGGGCGACAGAGTGAGACTACATCTCAGAAAACAACGACAAAAAAGAGTATATTATGTGTATGTATCTATATATGCACACAAAATATTTATATTTTGAAGAACTTAATACTTGTTGCATTTAGTTAGAAAAAACATGTGCAACAGTTTAAGAAATTACATGCACATTTTCACATAGATCTCAAAGTAAAATCTAAAGCACAGATTTTTGTGTAGCACCTTTCATATGGCAAACGATAATTGGGTTGTGTTAAGAGTACCATTCTAGAACCTCTTTAAAAAGTTCCTAGAGCCACACATGGGTAACATGTTAACATTAAGTAGCCAATGGTGTTCAATGAACTCGTTTCACATACTCATGACTATGTTTTAACCATAACTTCATGGCAGAACGACTGTAAATTGGCAGGGAGCAGCAGAGCAACCACGGGCCATTGTGCCTGAGTCACCGCTCGTGGGAGGCCCCTGCACAAACTGATGGATGTCTGTAGTAGCTCGATGTTGTAGTGTCATAACTACAGCTTAAAATGCGCAACTATGAAGAAGTTGAGGAGTCAAGTGTGTCTGAAAACTCTTACAGTCACACGGAAGAAAAATTCTCTGTTCATCAGCCGAAGAACTTAGGAAAGAAACCACATATTCGATACCCGGAAGTGCGAAACGCAGGTAAGGCAGTGGGAGGTGAAACCGACGAGGGTGCACGCAGCACCAGGCGGCGAACCTGGCCCGCTGGGTGGTGGCTGGAGGCTGCGGGTGGGGACAAAAGCGTGGCAGAGGAGTCAGAAAGGAGCGCACTCACCAGAACCACTCGCTACCGAAGCTGGGTACGGAAAACACGCCCCAGTGGATGAAGATGCCGAACTTGGCCTGGTCAAACCACGCGGGCAGCTGGCGGGCGTCCAGGGACTCCCAGGTGGGGTCGAAGCGCGTGGAGCTGTGGGCAGGGCTCGGCGGCGGCTGCAGCAGCAGCAACAGCAGCAGCGGGAGCGCGAGCCCGCGGAGCTCCCGGGGCCGCATGTCCCCGCGCAGGCCGGCTGTCCTCTCTGCAGGCTCCCGCGGCCTCGCGAGCGCTGTTCTTCCGTTTCTGCTGCTGAGTATGCCGCGCCGCTGTCACCTGACCAAGCCGGTCTTGGAAACCGGCCACCCTTCCCCCTCAGGGGCGGGAGTGGTCACTCTCCCGGGCGTTCCGAACGACCCCAGGAGGGCTGCATCGCTCAGCATAACTAAGGAGGCCAGCATTACCCCTAAGCCAGCTGCGACGGCTTTGCTAAGGCTCTATTCGCTTTGAGGGGAAAATATGAGTCTGAGTCAGGGCCCTGTGACCAGCGCCTCTGCCCTCAAGGAGGCACGACCTTGCCCAAGAAACTGCCCAAGAGGACAACGCCACCAGCCCGCCCTGGTGGCTGCTCCACACGTCCGAAGCGTGGATGAGAAGGTCAAGGCAGGAACCTCAGTCGGGTCTCGCCATAATGAAACATGGAAAGCAACCTAGATCATTCTCAGCCTCTGTATCAGCTCCCAAGATCCTGCATGTTAGAAGTGTGGCTGTCAACCTTGAATTTGTATCAGATGAAATTCCAAGAGCTTCAGATTCAGCAGTTAGGATGCGACCCAAGAATTTGCGTTTCTACCCAGTTCCTAGAAGATTCTGATGTTGGGCTGGGCGCGGTGGCTCACGCCTGTAATTCCAGCACTTTGGGAGGCCGAGGCGGGCGGATCGCGAGGTCAGGAGATCGCGACCATCCTGGCTAACATGGTGAAACCCCGTCTCTACTAAAAATACAAAAAATTAGCCGGGCATGGTGGCGGGCGCCTGTGATCCCAGCTACTCCGGAGGCTGAGGCAGGAGAATCGCTTGAACCTGGGAGGCAGAGGTTGCAGTGAGCCGAGATGGTGCCACTGCACTACAGCCTAGGCTACAGAGTGAGACTCCGTCTCAAAAAAAAAAAAAGAAAGAAAAGAAAAAAAAAAGAAAAAATTCTGATGTTGCTGGCTGGTGGGCCAAACTTTCCTGAGAACCACTGCATTAAACAAGGAGATGATCTGAGACAGGTGAAACCAGTGGAATGAATGTTTAAGAAACCTCCAAGCTTAGGGAAAAAAGCCAGCAATTTGGAATGATTGATCAAAAGGACATTTGGGAAGTTTATCTCCTCCACCTCTTTTTTTTTTTTTTTTTTGAGAGCCTTGCTCTGTCTCCCAGGCGGGAGTGCAGTAGCGTGATCTAGGCTCACTTCAGCCTCTGCCTTCCGGGTCCAAGAATTATCCTGTCTCAGCCTCCCAAGTAGCTGGGACTACAGGCATGTGCCACTATGCCATACTAATTTTTGATTTTTTTTTTTTCTTTTTCAGTAGAGACAGGGTTTCACCATGTTGGACAAGCTGGTCTCAAACTCTTGACCTCAGGTGATCTGCCCACCTCAGCCTCCCAAAGTGCTAGAATTACAGGCATGAGCCACCAAGCCCAGCCTCTCCTCCACCTCTTAAGTGCTTTCAAAGTAAAGCCACAATCCTCAACTGCTTCTGCCCACATGAAATTGTTACCCTTCAATGAGCCAATTCAAATGCTACCTCTTCTGTGAAGGTTTCTGCCACCACCCTCCCCTCCCAGAATGTTGTACTTTCCCTGATCTGCTTCATAACACCTCCTTCCAAGCACAGATAGGATTTCACGCATCCTCCAGTAGCTAGGTGGTACAGGTCTGATTTCCCATCAGACTGTGAGCTTTTTGAGGGCATTCATAATGACTTTCTTTTCTGTAGTGCCTACATTTACAGCAGAAAAGCGGCACTCAAAATGTTTGTTGAAGCTCTCCAGTGAACTGGGGTTCTAATTATTGAGTGAAGAACTTGACACTAAGTGGTTGTTGCCTGCATTATCCCATCCCATCTCTGCAGAGAGATGGGAGCAGCAGAGGGCGCTGTCACTGCAGGTGTAGGGGCATTTTTCCTCTTGATGACATGCCAGCTGGCCCCCTGGGGCCACAGCTCCACCATAAGGGTTCCCAGTTTTGTTTGTTTTTTTTACAATGAGGGTGTTCTAGAAGAAAGGGCTCAACGAATCCACTGAGCATGGATTACCAATTGCAATAGCTCCAGTTTGTGATAAAGATGACAATTTTCTTTCTTTTTCTTTTTCTTTTTTTCTTTTTTTTTGAGACAGAGTCTCGCTCTGTTGCCCAGGCTGGAGTGCAGTGTCACAGTGTTGACTCACTGCAACCTCCACCCCCGGGGATTCAAGCAATTCTCGTGTCTCAGCCTCCCAAGTAGCTGGGATTACAGGCATCAATCTCCAGCTAACTTTTGTATTTTCAGTAGAGATGGACTTTCACCATGTTGGCAAGGCTGGTTTTGAACCCCTGATCTCAAGTCATCCTCCTGCCTCAGCCTCTCAAAATGCTGGGATTACAGGCATGAGCCACTGTGCCTGGAATGACAATTTTTATTATCAAGTTTGTGAAACCCAGAATGATCTAGGGCCTCGGTAGCCATTGAACCCTGGGGCACCCTTGAACAAAAATATGGGCTTCTCAGCCACTATGCCTTGACATCCTCTCTAATCAGAAGTTTGTGTAATAAGTACAAAAGACAATTTTCACAGTGACAATGATACTGTGAACTGTCAAAGGGAGAGTAGACATGACTGTGGTGACAATGCAGCAGCAGCAGGACCCTGTCCTCTCATAAGTGGGCATCCTTTCCCCATGTGAACCCCACATAGCAGAAACACCCATCTCCTGAAGTCCTTTTATCATGTTATGAATTATTTACACTTCCATATATTTCAGTTAAAGAGTGGTAATCAGATCTGCATGGATGCCACTTGGGTCATCTGTCATTTCACTTGAAGGCAAAGAAATGTTTTTAACTGGTAAGTACAACCTTATCATAAAAGTCTATTTTCTGTAAGAAATACTGAAAATATGTTGAAAACCTCCCTTAGTGCCCTTCAGGACACATAAGAATCCTAGTATACCAGGTTGGGAACTATTGCTATAGGATTTCAAAGGAATAGCAAACAGTATTATCTGGAAGTGAAGAGGAAAAAGAGATTCTACTTAAAAATATTTGTGAAATGACTGAAAGAAATAAATCTATGAAGTTGTTTAGAACATGGTCCTTTATGGAAAGAGCTGCCTGCTGTAGATCCCATTCACATTTTATATATTTGTAATGCCTTACAAAGCTAGTCTTTGCACTTGAAGCTACTGCTAATTGAGCAATAGAATCATACCTCATAAGGCTTAAACTGTATTTAAATATTTTGATAGGGAATCCAGAAATCTGAGTAAAACCCTGGGTTCTGCAGGTGCACATGGCTCACATATAAGGCATTTGAAGGACTTATGGTCTTGATGGGGAACACTGTCAACTCTGATTCTGTTTGTCTGAGGTTACTTAGGGTACAAGATGAAGACATGGTTCCTTCTGGAACCACCATGGCCAGCAGCCGCATGTTGGGCAGCTGCTGATACTCAGGGTGCCCGGGCGGGAGAGGGTGAGAGGCCAGCCCTGGTCAAATTCCTTGCTGCTGCCAGAGGAAGCAGTTTTGCCACGTGTGTCCACATGGATATGATTAGCTGCTGAGGTGGAGTTGATATCTGAGCGAGGCTCTCGAGGACACATTCTGGATAGATCTCCATATGGGAGTTGGATGACTGCCACCAGCCAGTCTTGGCAGTCCCCAGAATTCTTCTGAAGTGGACAGTGGAAGAAGTGAAACATTGCCTGGCAGCTGGCATCAATGCAGTCTCTGGATATGCAGAAGAAAAGGTTCAAAAGGAACTGAACCCAATCCAGTCTTTATATGGTAAATATCCCAGCTTCACGGTAGAAGAGCAGGCGTGGCAGAAATAAAAGAAAACTCAACTTTTTCAGACCAGGGGACAGGTGAGAGAAACAGAGAGGAATAAAGGGAGGAGGCCCTGGGATTCGGCAGAGAGGGAAGAGCCGCCAGACTGTGGCCCTACTCCAGCCTCTGCCATAGAGCTGTGTAATCCTGGGGAAGGCATTGAACCTCTTTGTGCCTCAGTTTCTTCACCTATTAAATGTGAATGATAATTGTACATCTTCCTCCTAGGTGTGTCGTGAGAATTAAATCATGCGAAGTCCACGTCAAGCCTAGTCTACCTGTGAACCAGTATTATCGTGTGTGTGCTAGATCAATTCAGGGGAGCCTATGGGAAGGAGCGTTTCTGTCCTGATTCCCATTTAGTCTGAAGTCCTAAATGAGAATCAGGACATTTCTGTCCTGATTAGGACTCAGGCTAACTGGCAAGTGTAGCAAGGTACAGTCATGTTAGACAGATGGAGAGGCTGCTTTTTAGCTTTCCTGGCGTGACCTTGATATTCGAGTGACACAAACAGGACCCAAAATTAGCCAAGAATCTAATAGAAAATCTGCCCTGAGTGGTTTTCTGTGGCCAGGGCCTCCTGTGCCAAGGACCTGGGGTTCACAGCCATTCCTCAGAGGACTCTTGCCTGTTTGTGGAAACTGAATGGGGAGGCAGGAGCCCAATACAGACCAGATCTTGAATTAGAGCAGCTTCAGGCTTCATCTGGGAACAAAGAAAGAACCGGTGTCAGCACTCCAGGACTAGAGAAGGCAGGGATGGCGTGTTCCTTCGCAGAACCTGGAGAACCCCTCAGGACCCCCGCCCCTACTCCACGCCACCTTAGAGAGCAGCAGGGGAGGGGGGGGCATCTGCAATATTGAGCGTTGTTACCCAAAGAACAGCCTACATATTTGCTGAAGATGCTGCTTAATTGACAAGATTTGACTATGTTTAATGCAGGTAGAATATTTAAATTTGATCACCAACCACCCAGTGTGTGCATGGGGGACAAGAGCATGCTGTCTGCTGAGGCAAGCAGGGTGACTAGAAACAAAAACAAATGGCCACTTTTTCTCTGCACCAGGGTCATCAGTGGCAGGTAATTTAATGACCCTAGTATGCAGCTAAGCATCAGAACACGTGATACATTTGCCTTCTACTTCTCTCCTTCCCAATGTCTTCAGGGAAAAATGAATGATCTAATGAGTGGTTGTGCATGGAGGCCCAGTTCAGGGAGATGAGGTCTCAGTCACACGTCGAGTCTCCTTTCCAGTGGCCCTTATGGCTGAGGGAGACAGTGTCCCCTGGGCTGCACCAGTTGGAAGAAAAGGTGGAGTTTTCACAACCCTGGTTAGAAGTGGGAGGGAAGAGGTCAAGTCCTTAAGAGGAAGAGGAGGCACAAAAAGAAAGAAGGAACTGAAAGAACTGAGATAGGGCTGGGAAAGAGGGAGAAAGGAGATGAAAGAAAAAAGAAAGAAGAAAGAAGGAAGAGGGAAAGAAGGAAGGAAGGAAGGGAGGGAGGAGAGAGAGGAAGGAAGAAAGGAAGGAAGGGAGGGAGGGAGGGAAAGAGAGAGTGAAAGAAAGAA